CACAATACATTCATGTGGTGCAGAGTGATCAGTTGAATAATCAGTTACATTTATTAATTTCGTAGATGTTTTTAGCCAAATCACACTAAAAAGGTCTTTTCTTACCTTGGCAGAACATTGATGCCATCAACAGAATCGCAAGCATGATTAGGGTTTTAATTGTCTCTGTGAATGGCAAATTGCAAAGATTACTCATTCATCAATTCATTTTCCTTTAGCTTAGTCTCTTTATTAATCAGGAGTCTCCACAGCGGTAAGAACCTCCAACTTTTCCAGCATATGTTTCCAGCATATGTTTTACACAGTGGGTACCCTTCCAGCTGCAACCCAATACTGGTAAACATCCATACACACTCATTCACACACATACACTACGGACAATTTAGCTTACCCAATTTACCTATATCGCAGTCTTTCGACTATGGGGGAAACCGGAGCACCCAGAGGAAACCCACATGAACACAAGAGAACATGCAAACTCCACACAGAAATGCCAACTGACCCAGCTGGAGCTCGAACCAATGGCCTTCTTGCTGTGAGTGTGAGGCGACAGTGCGAACCACTGAGCCACCATGTCACCCTGCACAGATTACTTTGTAATGAAAATTTAATTGAAATATAAGTAGAAAACAACTTGCTGAAACAAATGAAGCCATTTAAACAAATGACAAAAGTCATTTTCTGAAACTACAGAAAGTAAATAATGTTAAATGAGCAATAATTAATACAGAACATTTAAGATAAACTAGTATATACATCTTTGTGCTTTTTCGCTCATCTTAAGAAGAATTTTTGACCGAGGCAAATACATATGTATTTATTTATTTTCAGAAATGATAAAGCATATAGGTTTTTATAACTCCTAAACTGTCTGCATTGTGTACAGGTATTGAAAGTTTGGGATCTTGTTGGAGACAATGTAGAACCTTGTTTTTTTTTTTTTTTTTGCCTAAAAATAGAGCCCTTCTGGTATGAAATAGCAACTGAAATAAAAGATAACTGGAGAAGATTTGGACTATTCTTTTATTACATTTTCCTTGGGAAAATACCAGATATTATTTCAACTATTGACAAATAATTAATTTAAATACTTTTGGAAAGAAGCAAAAAAGCCATAACTCGAAAATGGTTTCAGGCTGATTCTCCAACAAGGGCTCAATGGATAGGAATCGGAAAGGAAATACACTGTATGGAGAGACAGACTTTTAACTTAAGACTTGATTCAGGAAAGTGTAACAAGTATTGGCAAAAATGGACTGAGTATGTCATTGAAAACGCTTAGTTTTTTATTAATTTATTCATTAATTTTTCTTCCTCTTCTATCCTTTTTCTATTTCTAAATAAAAAAGTTAAAAAAAAAAAAAGAAATGATAAAGCATTTAAAGAACGTGTTTTTCAAGCCGCAAATAAAGCATTACCTCAAAATCAAGCAGTAAAAACTCTTACCTGATGTCTTGTCCAGCACTCTTCTTCTCTCTCTCTGGGAAATGACCTATTTGCCCTTATTTAAGTTAAACAAACATTTGACTTTCAAAATGCTTGATTTTCTCTCACATTTGCATATTCTGGCCACAAGAGAGTTTGATGCATGACTTATTTGTCCTAATGACTTCTACAAAGTCATGTCAAATCATGCCAGATTATGACTAGTAAATTGTTTTACATTCTCCAGATTTGCTCAAATGTATTGAAAATGTATTTGCAACTATTTTGTCATGATCTGCTGCAGCATAAACAGCTAAATTTTGGTTATTGCTAATGAAAACAAGACAACAGCACCAAATTACTCATGCAATGTTAACAACATTGAAGTGAAGTGTATATTTAGGCTTAAAATTAAAACACAAAAGTAAACTTCATTTTAGCGCTACAGAAAATGAAAAATACATAGAAATATAGGATTGGACACAATATAGGGGACTTAAGACAGGAATTATTGATTAAGTTTTAAGTTAAAATCATAAATGATATTAACTGTGAGTCCAATAGTTCTTGAGATAAAATCCCTTGAGATAAAAGCGATTTAGGCTGAAAAAAGTGTGCTGTGTTTGTGTGTGTGTGTGTGTGTGTGTGTGTGTGTGTGTGTGTGTGTGTGTGTGTGTGTGCACTGGCCCACTGGTTTAAAAGGACAGAAATTTGTATTATGTCATTATGTCAAGGTATTACAATGCCGATGTTGTTAATGTAGACATGCCGATAATTCAAAACACTTAAGACATACTTAACAAGGTATTTTGACATTCAAAATTTGCAACATGTTACTTAAGAAGTAAGTGAATGTGTTATGGCAAGTGGTAATTCAGTACAAAATACATTACGCCTATAAAGAGTCTTCAAAAACCACCAAAACCATGTGTATGTGTTTTGTTTTTATAGACCAGGGGTTCTCAAACTCGGTCCTTAAGATCTGGTGTCCTACAGATTTTAGCTCCAACTTGCCTCAACACACCTGTGAGGATGTTTCTAGAAAGCCTAGTAGGAGCTTGATTAGCTAGTCCAGGTGTGTCTGATTGGGGTTGGAACTAAACCTTGCAGGACACCGGCTCTTCAGGACTGAGTTTGAGAATCCCTGTTAAAGACCATTTTGAGGGATGTAAACAGAATAATAGTCCCAATGTATTTCCTGTTGTAAATTTTTTAATTTCTACAACTTCCGAGAAAAAGAGTCACATTTTGACAAATCATGTTATAACAGCTGTTTTAACAATAAGTTATGATTGAATTGCCTCTTGTTACAGTCATGAAATTGTTTGATAACAAGCAGGAAATGTTCATGGGCCAATGACCACATTGAAATGATCTATGTTTGTGACAACAAAGAAAAAGACACATTTATGACTCAATTCAATGTTTCCTGCACTGTAAAAATAAATCTTACTGCCTAAAACTGACTAAAAATATTACGTTAAACCTTACATAATTAAAAACTGTTAACACCTGATTAACTTATTAAAATAATTTACTGTGAGTTTACTGGTATTCTCTGTCCCAGGAGTTGATGTGATTAAAATGCTAGAAGTGAATATTTGCCTAAATGACATCAGAGCAGGCAACAGAGACCTGAACAACATCAGGTAAACATATCAGGATTACACTATTAAGCCTGGGGGTGTGTTCATATTTGAGAGCACTGTAATCTTTTAAAATATTAACAGAGCAAATTTCACTTTCATAGCTGTACTGTTTGAGGCAATTCAAGGCCAAAAGTTTTTAATTAACTACATGAACAACAAATAATTTTATTCCATTTTCAATAAATTATTTACATATTTTCACTCTTGAAAAACTTTAATATTACTCAGGTAAAAAGTTACCACCAAGAAACTGACAAAAGCATTTTTAAATTAGAGACTAATTAATCTTATTCAGAATCGTACGGTGACTGAGAGAGCTAAATGTGCTGCAATTTCAGAAAACACACGCAATTACAAAAAACACCAGCAAATTAAGAAAAGGTCCTCATCGGTTTGCCAGCATAAGGGTTGCAAATACAACACAAACATATTAAGAAAACACGCTGCATTTTCTCACTATGCAAACAACTGCCTTTTCTCACAACACATGCAAATAGCATGGAACGCAAAGGAATTGTTGCTGGCTAGTTGGGTTGTGGTTATTTAGGCTAATAATATATAATCAGTATATTGGAAACAAAAAACTCACCTTTCAAGGGAGACATGGTGGTGCAGTGGTTAGCATTGTTGCCTCATAGCAAGAAGGTCACTGGTTAGAGTCCTGGTCCCGGCTGGGTCAGTTTCTATTAGGGTGTGGAGTTTGCATGTTCTCCCTATATTGGCGTGGGTTTCCTCCAGGTGCTCTGGTTTTCCCCACAGTCAAAAGCCAAGCGGTAGGTGAATTGAATAAAACAAAATTTGCTGTAGTGTATTTGTGTGTATGGATGTTTTCCAGTACTGGGTTGCAGCTGGAAGAGCATTTGCCGTGTAACATTAAGTTGGCGGTTCATTCCATTGTGGCGATACCTGATGAATAAAAGAACTAAGTTGAAGGAAAATGAATGAAACTCTTTTCAAAGATCACCTAAAACTTCACTGAGTAATAGTCACGGTGTCATGAGAAATCAAGTCGCCTTGAGAATTGGGTCCGCCTGTAGGACCCTGAGTAATCCTATTGTTTCACTGCAGTTGTAAGAACTATAGTTTGTAGCACCTGATTATAAAGAATAGTACTATAACTATTAATTCTGTGAAATCACACTTTAATTTATATAATGTATAAAGCTTTATAATGACCATTTCATTTCACCATTATAATGACATTTATAAGCGTTATACAGACCCTTTCATATACTGATATATGATTAAAGACTTGGGTAATAAAATTGAGCATTTATCTTAGTTAAGAAGCATACTGTTTATTTAGCTCAGTTAGCCTATGTGCTAGCATACTCAAAGGTTGCATCCAAAATCGCATTCTTCCATAGTGTATGCTAGAACGCTAAAAACTGTATGCGAGCAGAGTAGTATATCTGAATACATAGAATTCGAAAATCAATATGCAAGAAGTACCCCGATGACCTGCTACTTCCGGCAAGATTCTGAAGTGCACATCAGATGGACCGTACCCTATGCCATAATGCATCATGATGCGATGCAACTACCGCAGATGTGTCACGTGATCATGACAAAGTGGCGGATGAAGTACGTTTGAGATCCATTCATACTACTACCATTTATCCTGTTTCATACTTTTCTAATGTTCGAGAAGTATATTCAAATGCAGTAGGCTATTTCGGATGAAGGCATGAAGCCATACACTTCCTGACAAAAGTCTTGTCGGATATCCAAGTTTTAGGAATAACAAATAATAACTTGACTTCTAGTTGATCATTTGATATCAGAAGTGGCTCATATGAAAGGCAAAGGCCTCTAGATTGCACTTATTTTACCAAAATAAAATATGATCATGCCTTGATTTTTAATTATTTAATTAGGACAGTAAGCTCTGACTTTGCTTGGACAAAAGTCTTGACATGGAAGAGAGGAAAAAGATTGAAAATTGTGTATGACTCCCATGAGCTTGGAGGACTGCATCCATACATCTCTGCAATGACTCCAATAACTTACTAATAAAGTCATCTGGAATGGCAAAGAAAGCGTTCATGCAGGACTTCCAGAGTTCATCAAGATTCTTTGGATTCATTCTCAATGCCTCCTCCTTCATCTTACCCCAGACATGCTTAATAATGTTCATGTCTGGTGACTGGGCTGGCCAATCCTGAAGCACCTCGACCTTCTTTGCTTTCAGGAACTCTCCT